CATGTTGATGATCTATATCTCATGTGAACAAGAAAGACAGAAATAACTATTTAATACATGTATTTTATATATAACCCTTTTTTCCAAAAAAGGCACTATGTACAAAATTATGCACAGAACTGTCTGGACACAATTGGAGTAGCACTTACTACAACTGTTATCCACTCACAATTGTGTATAAAAACATTGTGTATCAGAAATACACACAGCTGCATATCAGAACAATTACAGAAACGTGGCATGAAATGGCCCAACATTTGTAAGCTTTATAAGTCTTTGTGACAAAAAGGTCACATGTTATTCTTGAAACAACTTATTTCTATTCCAATAACCAAAAGAACAAGAATGTAAAACTTGCCGAAAGAACCGCAAGTGTTAATCAGGACAACATGTAAATAAATAAAACTTAATTTAATAGTATTTGGTCTCCATGCACAAAACAACCAAGGCTAACATTTTGGCATCTGGTTTTAAGTAAAGGTGGTCTCAGCAGGGTAAATATCCTGTATGACCTGATTTAAAATCTCATCTATGACCTCACAGTCATAGTTCACTTGGTCGAGGTCGAGGTACAGGGCAGGAACAAAAGTGACCAATAAACGGGCAATGCTGCACCTCAGTTCCCTCAACCTGATGACAGAAGAGAGAGCAGAATTATATATGTGCATCAAAATGTGACTCCTAATGAGCTTGTACAGAAACGCCACATACCACTTAAAACCTTAAGTCAACAAGGCTCTTACTTGGCCAATGTCACTGTGTTCTCTCCATCCACAGGTCTTTCACTGCTCTCTCCTTCCTTTTTGATCCCATTCTCAAGGTTTGCAGCCGTGCTTGCTCTGCATGTTTGTTCTGAACTGGTGTTACTGTCCTTCAGAGTCTCTTGCTCTCTTGCATTGCTCCACTCCTCTCTTTGTTTCCTCAGCTCTTCTATTTCCTTCTGCAACAGCTCACAGGCGTTCTCCTGCTCCAAGCTCTCCAACTTTCAGAATACAGTTGAGTTTGCGGGTATTGAAGAATGAAAGTTTTCCTTTTTTCTTATTTTCAGATTCGGACTGACTAATTTATTATGGCATTCTTGCAGGAAAGACCAACACTTGTGGAATAGGATACTGTAATGTCCCCATCATTTTTTAACCAGCATGGCTTCCACGATCAGCCAGCTTTACCACTATAATTTACCTTCACATGCAGGCAAGTTTTTCCAGTTAAGAAGTCAAATGCACTTAAAATGCTGTCCTTTACTAACCCTCATTTAATTGCAAACCCTTAAGACTTTGGTTCATCTTCAAAACAAAAGTGAAAATATTTTTAGAGATTTCTGTCCCTCCACTGAAAGTCCATGCAATCAAAGCTTTGATGATTTGATGGTTTAAACTTAGTCTTCTGATATGATCACTTTATACAACCCAATTTCCAGAAAAGTTGTATTTTGTTATAGGCAATAAGAACTAGAATTTGTAATTTTGGTTATTCTTTTTAACACTTATTTAAACTGACAAAAGTTCAAAGAAATGTCTTCCAATGTTTTCAATTACCAATCATCGTTGACTTATTCTTCTCTTCATGATGCACCATATGTTTTCAATAGGAGACAGATCTGAACAGCAGGCAGGCCAGTCAAGCACACATCCACTCTGTCTACACAAAACCATGCTGTTGTTGCACATGCAAAATAAGGTCTGGCATTTTCTTGCACTAATAACCATGGACTTCCTGGGTCATTTTGATGGCAGCATATCTCTGTGGAATCCCAATATATGCCTCCATGTCAATTGTACCTTCGCACATATGCAAGTCAGCTGTGAGCTTGCATGTACCTTGATGTACCCACATACAGATGTTGGCTTTTGGACCTGTCGCTGATAAAAGTCTGTATGGTCACTTACGTCTTTGGTGCAGAAACATAATGTATTTTTCCCCCTAAAATCAATCTGAAATGTGGACTCATCTGATCACAGCACAGAACACCACTGTTTCATACAATCAGAGATGAGCATGGGCCCAGAGAACTTGACAGAATCTCTGCATAGGATTGATGTATGGATTTCTCCGTGCATAACAGATTCAGGTTGCATTTCTTGGTGCAGTGACAAACTGTGTTAATAGACAAAGGTTTATCAAAGTACTCCCAAGCTCATGTGACTGTGTTTAACACAAAATAATGTTTTCTCCTTCTGAAAACCACAACAAATTCCTTGTGTGTTTGTGCACACTTGGCGAATAAATGCATACTGATTCTGGTTTCTCATGCAGGGCGATCTGAGGGCTTGAAGGTCTCACAAATTCAACAGAGGTTTCCTGCCTTTCCCTACACAGACTGAGGGTTCATTCACAATATTGTTTAAAAACTAGTGCTGTCAAACGATTAATTGCATACAAAATAAAAGTTTTTGTTTGCATAATATATGTGTGTACTGTGTATATTTTAGTGCTGGGCAACGATTAATCGCATCCAAAATAAAAGTTTTTGTGTACGTAATATATGCGTGTCTTTATAATCGAAACAAAATTATAAAAGCAACACTTTTGTTTTTGCCCCCATTTTTCATGAGCTGAACTCAAAGATCTAAGACTTTTTCTATGTACACAAAAGTCCTATTTCTCTCAAATATTGTTCACAAGTCTGTCTAAATCTGTGTTAGTGAGCACTTCTCCTTTGCCGAGATAATCCATCCACCTCACAGGTTTGGCATATCAAGATGCTGATTAGAAAAGCATGATTATTGCACAGGTGTGCCTTAGGCTGGCCACAATAAAAGGCCACTCTAAAATGTGCAGTTTTATCACACAGCACAATGCCACAGATGTCGCAAGTTTTGAGGGAGCGTGCAATTGGCCTGCTGACTGCAGGAATGTCCATCAGAGCTGCTGCCCGTGAATTGAATGTTAATTTCTCTACCATAAGCTGTCTCCAAAGGCGTTTCAGAGAATTAGATAGATAGATAGATAGTAGATAGACAGACAGACAGATAGATAGATAGATAGATAGATGGATAGACGGATAGATAGATAGATAGATAGATAGATAGATAGATAGATAGATAGATAGATAGATACATAGATAGATAGATAGATAGATAGATAGATAGGACTTTTAAAGTAACTGTTCCCTCCTGGTGGAATGACCTGCCCAACTCAATCCGAGCAGCGGAGTCCTTAGCCATCTTCAAGAATCGGCTAAAAACACATCTCTTCCATCTTTATTTGACCCTCTAACTCTAGCACTCTCTATTCTAATTCTATTCTTTAAAAAAAACTTGTCCCTTTTAGACTTGCACTCTATTAATTTACAGCTTGTTTTCTTAAAAAAAAAAGAGCAAAAAAACTAACATTAGCTTTTCTATTATTTTTGTATTCCATCTATTTGTTTTCTTTTTATTTATTATACAATTAACAAAAGCAAAAAAGGCCTCTAACACTAGCTTGCTCTATTCTTTTTCTGTTCACTCTGTTTTCTTTTTATTTATTATATAATTAAAAAAAGTGCTATGTGTACTGCGTTAAGCTAACTGAGACTTGTTCTAGCACTTGCGTATCATTGCTCTTTTGTTGACTTTGATTGCTTCCATTGTCCTCATTTGTAAGTCGCTTTGGATAAAAGTGTCGCTAAATGACTAAATGTAAATGTATAGGCCTGCCTATAGATAGATAGATAGATGACAGACAGATAGACAGATAGATGACAGACAGACAGACAGATGACAGACAGACAGACAGACAGATAGATAGATGGATAGATGGATAGATAGATAGATTACAGACAGACAGACAGATAGATAGATGACACAGACAGACAGACAGATAGATGACACAGACAGACAGACAGATAGATAGATAGATAGATAGAGAGATAGATGGATGATAGATAGATAGATAGATAGATAGAGAGATAGATGGATGATAGATAGATAGATAGATAGATAGAGAGATAGATGGATGATAGATAGATAGATAGATAGATAGAGAGATAGATGGATGATAGATAGATAGATAGATAGATAGAGAGATAGATGGATGATAGATAGATAGATAGATAGATAGAGAGATAGATGGATGATAGATAGATAGATAGATAGATAGAGAGATAGATGGATGATAGATAGATAGATAGATAGATAGAGAGATAGATGGATGATAGATAGATAGATAGATAGATAGAGAGATAGATGGATGATAGATAGATAGATAGATAGATAGAGAGATAGATGGATGATAGATAGATAGATAGATAGATAGAGAGATAGATGGATGATAGATAGATAGATAGATAGATAGAGAGATAGATGGATGATAGATAGATAGATAGATAGATAGAGAGATAGATGGATGATAGATAGATAGATAGATAGATAGAGAGATAGATGGATGATAGATAGATAGATAGATAGATAGAGAGATAGATGGATGATAGATAGATAGATAGATAGATGACAGACATACAGATAGAAGACAGACAGATAGATAGATAGATAGATAGATATATGCCAGACAGATAGACAGATGACAGACAGACAGATAGATAGATAGATGACAGACAGA